TGGGAAGCTGAGAACCGTAGACGGCGCACGTAGTTGTAGGGGGCGTCACCGAGCCTGCGAATTTCGGTCGCCATGCCCGTTGGGGCGAGTGGCAACCGGTCGCAACCAGACGTCCTCGGCGAAGCCAAATTCATTTTGGAAGATGCAGTCACGCTGAGATCTGCTTCGCCCACGAGACGGAGCGAAAATCATGCTGTCGAGACGCGGAATCACCGATATTCGATATCGCACCGGCAGGCACTCGGATATCGGAGACCCTCGTCCGCAGGGCTGCCAGATGCGTCAGATGCATCCGCGGCGCCCCGCGTTGCCTCCTCTCGCCCGCCGTGGATCCGTCAGCCGCGGCGGCCGGGACGAGACTGGCTGCCTTCGTCGCCGACGCCCCGACCCGGGCCGGAGGCCGCGCATGCGCGCCGAGCACGACAATGTCCCAGTTGCCATGGCAACAGAATGGGAAAATAAAGGAAAGGTGACAAACCGATCTCAATATCTGCCATACGTGAACGACAGACGACGATCGTAATATTTGTCACACTGAGATGGCAGATGGCAATGCATAATTTAAGCGGGCGGATGTGGCAACCGTGAACTCCCCCAACCCGAGCCTCGATCCAATTTTATTTTTTTTTCGCTTAGTTCCTCTCAAAATTGAATTCGCAGCTCGGTAGCCGAGCCGGAATGAAACCGATAACGCAGTGATCCCCGTGCCGTCCTTTTCCCGGGAGAATTGGGGCGTGCAGGTAGGGTTCCGGACTCGATCCGGCATCCGGAATCCGGGTTGAGAAAACCTTCTTCGTCGCAGGTGCCGATCCCGGAAGTGCTCGAGGCGGGCTGGGTGATCCTGAAGAACGTGTTGTCCCGCGCCCCGCAGCTGGTCCGGGACCGCCGCTACCACCAGCGGACGTACCGAACGTGCATGGTGGGAACGGAGATGGTGGACTGGCTGCTCGACGCCGCTCACTCCACGGTCCTCTCCAGGCATCTGGCGGCGGCTATGTGGCAGGTGCTGCTCGAGGAGGGGATCATCCAGCATGGTAAGGGGGGGGGGGGGAAAGAATGGAGGTGGAGTGAGTGTTGGAGGAATGAGGGGGAGGGGAGATGGACTCGGGAGTACAATGGAGTATGTGATGGGAAATCAGTATTAATGGGAGAGGGAGCCCGGCCATAAAAGGCGCTATTTGCCTGTCCTACGTGTACCCTCATTCCATCCGAGTCGGCCCTTTTAGGAATTGTGGACCGCAGCGACAAATAAAGTCGTTTGGTAACTCTCGTCGAAGGTCACGGGGTCCCAAGCGGTCTGGGAATCCCAGGACCTCGCATCCAGGTCGAGTGGGGCCTGAATAATTGAGGCGCGTGCTCTTCTCTCGTCTCTGGGTCCCCGGTGGGTCCCTCCCTTGGGTCCCATGGGGTCCGGCGTTAATGTTGCACGAGGGTTGCTCAGGTGCTCGTTGTTTTTTCATATACGCAGTGACGAGGGAGCACCCGTTCCGGGACAAGTACTTGCTGTACCGCTGGGTGATTGGGGACTCGGTCGGGGAGGGGAACTGGGGCGAGGAGGCGTTTCGAGAGTCTCTCGCGCTCCTCGCGCGGCTCGCGCCCGACGCGCTCTTCCGCGTCGCGCTTCGCAAACCGTGAGTCTTCTTCGTCTTTTCCGTTCGTCATCGTTTTCGGGAATCCTTCGAGCCGGTTGGACGCGGGGAGATGCGAGGTGAAGAGGAAGTGCGACGAAGCGCGAATTTTTTTTTTTTCTATTTACTCAGACGCGAAATTCCATTTTCGTCGCACACAAAAAAAAATATTCGCAAAAAATTTCCATCGCAACTGCGAAGATCCGGCTCGAGGATGAAAATTCTCTGGAAAAAAAAAATGAGTCTGTGGATTTGCAGTCGAGAAGACCGGACGGAGGAGGACCTCGAGCTCATCTACGAGAAGTTGCTCCAGGTGCCGGCCCTGTCGCACCTGTCCACGTCGGTGAAGAGGCAGCTGGCGGAGGTGCTGCTCTTCGAGGCGCATCCCAGGCCGGGGACCGTCCGTGAGTGCGAGAGTCCTCTGCGGGGCGGGGCGGGGCGGGGGCGAGGGGGCAATTTCGTCTCGAGGGCTTCTTTAATTTTGACGAGATCGTAGGTGATGTCTTTTAATGGGCCTCTTCAGAAAGGAATGAGACCACTTATGGTCCCGTCCTCTCCGTCCGTGTGTCTGTGTGTCACACTTTGATTGTCCGACGATAACTAAAGAAACCGACCGCCTGACCGATGCGAATATTGGCAAGCTGATAGATATTAACAAGATACTGGTTGAGTTCGTTTAGTGGCGAATTTGCACCCAATTTTTCATCTTTATTACAAATTTTGGATATGAAGTTCGGTCACGGAGGAGAAGGCGCGAGAAACCCGTTCGCCCTTGAGGATGTGAATCGCAATGCGCATGCGCGGACGACCCAGGCCCCCGGGCGCGGTGCCCGGGTCAGCCAACCAGAGCTGTCAGTTCCCTGCCGACCTTCGTGGCGGGCGGGTCCAAGCACGCACAGCCCTCGAGTCTCCCATCGTCGATTCGCCGCCGTGGGTAGATTTTCAAACGTGACTGAAAAATGTTTTTCATGGCCGGGGACCGGAAAGAGGATTTGGGATTTTGTTCGATCAGTTGACAAACGCGGATCTCCTTAAATGAAAGGAGGCCCATTACTGAACTGGACTTGCCCGTCTTGTTTTTAGCGAGATTTTGTCGGTTCAGAGATTAACGGAAACGGGGAAAGGGTCTGCGAAGAAATTCGGCCTCGACCTACTTCTATCAGAGTCGCGGCAAGCGATTTCAAGAAGCAAGTTTCTCTCGGAGGCGCTCGACAGCACCGCAGTAAATCAATCGGCTTTGGTGGCGCCTATTACCTTTTTTCAACCCCCTTCCCTTAGAAAAATTAATCCTCCCCGTATTCCTCTCTGAGAGCAACAGGGACGAAATTAGGCTTGTTTCTTCCTCTCTCGACACAAACCCCCCTTCCCGCCCGAGACATTCGTTCTTGAAAGTAACAGTCCTTAAATGGCGAGGAAACTGACTGAATGGCCTGGCCCGGCAGGCGCGCAGCATCCGAAGGCTCACGGCGAGGAGATGCAT